GTTCTCCATAGCGGCGGCAATCCGCTCTTTATCATTGATTTGTTTGTTGACTGAAACAAGAGAAAGCAAGTTTTAATATTTAGAAATTAAGACACTCTACAGATAATAGCATAATTAGGTTCCTTTGCAAATTTTTAAAAGTCCTGTTGTTCTACTATTTCAACTACATAACTTAGTAACTCAGAGACTATAGACTTCCATTTGACCTGATCTGGACACATCTTTCACACTTTTTCCAGATTCATACATTTCACTATCTTTTAAAAGTACAATAGAACCTCGATAAGTTAAAGTTCAAGGGAAACAAAAAACACTAAGTTATAGAGGTTATAAGTTATCAAGGGTCCATGCTGTGAAGGTTTTGGGCTCTGATGGGAAAGGAACAAATTTTTCTTAAAAGTTATAGAGGTTTTTAAGTTACCGAAATTTGAATTATCAAAGTTCTACTGTATCTTTATTTAAATCATACTATCATTATAACATACATTTGTTTTTTATTTAATTTCACAAGGATAGAGTCGCTGATGATAGCTATAAATAAAATATTGGCTAAATGCTCCTAAATAGTAATAATAGCTAATAGCTGAATTATTTTTGTTGTGTTTGTAATTATTGCACATCAATATTGAGACAACATTGTAAAGAAAATTGTGAAATTACATTTGTGTTTCATAACTTGTTTCTATTTTAGAGAGCTAACTGCTTTTTGTTGCTAACTGAACAACAAATGCATTTATTTTAAACTTTAAGCTGTCTATCAGCAAATCTTTTATCTGGGGCATATTTATTTTTGCAGATAATTTAAAGTTTGCTCTCTTGTAGTCATGTGATAACATTGCTTACTTGTCTAAATATATACATATAATAAAATTGCATTGTCTGTTTGTAATATCAAAAGAAAAATCCCACATTTCGGGAAGATGATGTATTTGCGTTGCTGATAACGAAAATTGAATAATTTTTTTTTGTCTGTCTGTCCGTAAGCCGTATTTGTCCCGGGTAATCTCCGAAACGGCTGGACCGATTTTGACCGGACTTTCACGGTAGCTGTCATAGACAGGCATATTATAGGCTACTTTTTATCTTAATATGTGTGGACGAAGTCGCGGGCAACAACCAGTTAGATAGTAAAGTTCAAAATGACCGATACTGCTGATATCAGACTGTTTACACCAAAACATATGTATAATATATTGCTATCCCTCTTTACTTCTTATAAAAGTTAGAGATAGAAATAGTTTCTGCACCTATTGTTTTAGCAGTGGAATTTTTTAATATAATTGTACTTCTTAATAACTTTTTTTATTTTGGTTTTAAATTTAGCAATAAAATAAACATATTTTTCCTAGTAATATTATCATTATGCCCTTTTCATTTGTTTACTATTAAATTTCCAATTAAGATATGAACAAACTTGCACATTTTATCTAATCTATTTGCAAGATTGTTTACAGAAGCTATTTATTGTAATTAATTATAACACAAATAATATAAATGTCATAATTTTATTCAATTGTAGAATTAATTGTTTAAGTTATTATGCAATTAAATCATAAACAGCTGATATATAGAAAAAACAAGTTAACAAAGAAAGCAATATAGTTACTTGTATGTAGCACTAGCTATTGCCTGTGACTATGTCCGCGTGGTAGTAGAAAACATATCATCATCATAAGCCTTTGATTGCCCACTGCTGGGCATAGACCTTCAAAAACCTATGAACTATATAAATAACAAAAAGCTACATATCCTTCGGAAACCGGACATTTCTCAGGGATGAAAATATCCCATGTGTACTCCAGACTTTGTTTTATATCTGTGCCAAATTTTAATGAGATATGTTGAACCATTGCAGAATTATCGAGTAAACATTCAAAAATAAAATTAATGACTCCCATGGGAACCGTAACTATTTCCAGGATAAAAAGTAGCCTATGAGTTCTTCCAGATTATGCTTTACATCTGTGCCCAATTTCATGGAGATCTGTTCAGCCGTTTAGGTTACAAACTCTAACAAACATCCATCTAAACTTTCGCATTTATAATATTAGTAAGATATATCATTAATACATTGTAAAATTCTTATCAATTACAAATTGTATTTGCAATTCTTTTGTGTTCTGTTTGTTTTAGATTGACATGAGTCCCATCTTATTATTAGTTCAAATCTTTGTTATTACAGATATTCTCAACAAATGACATAAGAACATGAACTCAATATTTACAAATACATGTAACATCAAATAGATAGTGTGAAAAACACTCCTTTGTTAGATAAAAACTGCTAAATAAACAACTATAGTAGATTTATAAAAATATAATACAGTGTTGTAATTGAAAAAAAATAATTGACAAATATTAGAAATGATGAGAGTTTAATGTTTAGATAGATGGATGGATGTTTTTAGAGTAGTCTTGGGCTTAATCGGACATCTGCAAGTGCGCACCGTACTAGTACTATTGGGAAAACGTACTACTACACACTTTTAGTACCTTTAGTACTTCAGATTTGTGAAAACACAATACATGAATAAAATATAACGAGGGTTATATATTACTTCACATCAAATTTTAAGCAGGGTCAAACATATGTTATTAGCGAAAATAAATTTAGTTATGAATAATTTTATCCACTTTTGATTTTCATTATTGAAGGTGGATGCTTCAATCTGACAAAAAGGCGAACACCGATATCGTGTAGTGTACTAAAAGTACTAAATGTCCGATTAACAGAAGCCATTCGGTAACGTTACTTTTAGTACAGTGCCGAGTAACATTACTTTTTAGTACATCGTACATGTACTACCCAAGACTATTTTAGAGTTTATAGTCTAAACTGCTGAACAGATTGCAATGAAATCTGGCATATATTTTTATTGTAGTTATTGCTTTTACTACATTGAATCTCATGTTCAGTAGATTACTTAAACAAATATAGTGCAAGACTATCAGGACTGCATGAAATTAAAAAACTAAGTAGCCAATATGTGACAAACTTCATTGAGATGTGTTAGTTCTTTCAAAGAAATGTGGTAATAAACATCAATGTATCAAAACTTTCACATTTATATTAATGTCTAGTTTCAAAAGGTATACAAATATGTTTAATAATAACTGCAATATTAAACACTTGTTTATCTGATAAAAACAAGCAACCTTTGTTATTCAAGGAATTGTATATTTTCCTTGTTACCAAGGCCTAACAAATCACCTTTGCACATTATAGTACTTTATAAGATGGAAAGTACTAGAAAGAATATAGAGTTTACTCACTTTCATCTTCAGTTGTATGAGCTCCTTTTTTGATGAAAACATCAAGTTTAACAGGATGATGTAAAGAACGGAGTATTTTTATCCTTATACAAAGTCCGATCAACGTTGCTAGCGAACAATGCGGCACGGTGGGATTATATTCCACACGAAGAACAGGTACGTTATCAGCTGTAGGTTCCTTCACGAAGATACCTTCTTCATAAACAACTTTCAAGTCCTCCAATGTACTAGGCTTCTCCGGGTCTCGTATTGTCCTCAAAAAGTCTAAAACACCACAACACTCGTTAGAAATCACAGTAAATCCATTCAAAAGCCACACAAAATGATAAACTGACCATAAATAGTCTCTCTCAACTCATCGTCGTCTTTGTAGCCGAGCTCTTGCAGTGTTGCACTTTTGTCCATATAAGCGGGCTTGGCTAACTCCACGGGAGAATTCTGTGTGTTGTTTAATGACAATTTAGAGAAGAATGATAACATATCGTTTAATAATGGCTATGAGATTGTTTTGTAACTCTGTTCACAAAGCCAGAGGACATGTTTGTTCATTTGTTGTTTTAGAGATGTCACTTGTCAATTTGAAATCGATTCAAGATCGATTTTCCTGTTTGTTTCGATTTTCACAAGCTTTTATTAAGCAAATCAAACCATCGTAAAATTTTATGTGATTTTCTATGTTAGAACATTAAATAAAATTTTAACTTTCTATTGCTTTATCACGTTTTCCTTTTATTCTCCAAAATACTGCGGGGTTTTTTTTTAACTAAAAATAATAACTCGAGCAAAGGTTATCTGTTTTCAGTTTTTTTTATTGGATTATTACATTTCAAAATCAACCTTTCTTTCGATTGAGCGAATGAAAGAATATTGCGAGGCTTAAATCGATATCAGCATCTAAAAATTATCACTATGACCTTAACAGAGTGCAGATAATTAAAGTTACAGAAAATAAACATCTATACCACAGAGTAGGTCAATTTATCACTGCCGGTTTAACTATTTCCAGCACACCAAAAAAAGAATTCTTTAAAAATGTTTAATAAACCAAATTCAGCGTTTTGCTTATTAAATCTCTAAATAATTTGAAAATTCTTTTTATAATTCTGTTATGAGTCAAGACATTAAAACCACTTGCTTGCACTACCAATATTTTATATCCTCTTTGGACACCGGCGTCAAAAAAGTACTAAACTTTAACTTTTCTCGGCTTACGCTGCCTACACCGTTAGAGGTATATAAAAATGATGTATGAAAGAATTGTAGATCTCCAGAAGTTCTGTAGAAAAGTCCGCGAAAGCATATATCTATCTTTAACAGTTCTCTTACAATAATCACTTTTTTGTTTACAAAATAAATTAAAAACCTTACGCTATTTGCAGCGTTCTTTTATTGGTTTCAATATTAATCCTTATCCAAATAAATACGTTTGTTATTAGGAGAATTTAATGTAGAATAAAATTGTCCTTTACAGTATTTAAATTGGACTAATAGTTTAGAAGATATCGCAAACACAAACAATAAGGGTAACTGACAAATCAGCTTACAAGCTACCGGGCTTAGAAATTTGGAATCTTGCATCGATAGATTTTTGTTATTACGTAGATTACTACTAAGTTAATATTGTAGGGGATAGGTTACGGAGCGAACTGAAATTTTAAACTTTCAAATTTCACGCGGACGCAGTCGCGGGCAACAGCTATCTCTAATTTGAAAACTCTTTTTGTAATTCTGTCATGAGTCAAGACATCAAAACCACTTGCTTGTACTACTTTAATTGTAGTGACGGAATACGAAAGCTATAATAGGATTGGACTTCGCTTATATTTTTGATTATTTGCTAGTTTACACGGAAAATTAAATAAAAACCATTTTACTTATAAAGTAATTTTATTACATTAGAACTTTTTGAATGACTTCTTGGAGCCCTTGCCTTTGGACACCTTGAGGACATTGAATCTGACGGTTTTCGACAGCGGCCTGCATTCTCCAATGGTGACAATGTCTCCCAGTTCAACGTCCCTGGAAAATTAAAATTATACTTGTATCATACATATTTTTGGATAACATTGTCTATGGTTAATAATAAATTGATCAGAGTTTGGGTTAAAACACTTTCGTCGTCATGTTGTGGTCAGAAGACCGTCGTGTGGGTATCATCATTTAGTAAACACAATTTTTATAGACACCTTTTAAAATTTTAATTGAAAATCCTAATATTTAGCTGTGCTATTGTACAGTCAGCCGCACAAAAATGTGTCCAATTACAAAACTTCAAACTTCTACTCTCAGTTTCGAGAATGTGCCCATATATTCATCAATAAGTTTAGAAGCATACAAACAGAAGTGTATGCAGATTCTTGAAACCAAAGGCATATAAAAGTGGCTGAAACTGTAAATGTATTGAAATAACTTTAAAAATAAAAAGCTATGTTATCACTAAATAACATTGGCTATTTAGTGAGCGACTGCTAGTATCATACAGCTGACTACATTCCATTGAGTATTGTGGATGGGGTCCACAGTACTTTGAACAATATAGCACAGAGATGAAATATTAATTTTAGTGTTACAAACCTGAAGCAAGGCGAGAGATGGACAGACATGTTTTTGTGCCTCTTCTCGAATCTGTTGTACTTCTTAACGTAGTGCAAATAATCGCGGCGGATGACGATGGTGCGCTGCATCTTCATCTTCTGCACCACTCCGGTGAGGATGCGGCCTCTGATTGACACATTGCCGGTGAATGGGCACTTCTTGTCAATGTATGTGCCTTCGATTGCCTGTACATGCCAGTGTTATTCACAATTATATTTTTGCGAGTCTTACATGGGTATGATGGTTTTGATTGGGTGTTTACCGTTGAAAATGTTGTTTAATATCTATTAAATATTTAAGAAAGCATGCTAGAAATTTTAATTTTTATTGAATATATTTTACTACAAGCATTATATTTTCGTAGCATATTTATGGTAAATGGAACTAAAGCAGCCTTTGCTTGTAGCAATATTTAAGCATTTATACTGAGATTGGTGCAAGATATTTTTCGATACAACATTTTCAACATATAAAAAATCAGATTATGGGTTTGTAACACATTCTTCTTCATATAGTATTCAGAAGACCGTCGTGTGATTATCATCATGTATAAAATAAGATTCCCTTCCAATTAAAGCCATGTTTCTTGTATATCCAATTTAATGTAACACAGAGAATTGTATGAAAAAAAAAACATGAAATTTCATATCAATTTTTGCAAAGATCAAAAATTTACACTACTAGACCATTTAAGTAATTAATTAAGAGTGCTGTAGTATTTTTAGTGTTAATTAAACATAAAAAAATCAATTCTCTGTCTTACATAATAATGAATTGTATGGTTATTTGAAAAATATGTTAATAAGATGTAATGTTTTAACCCCGTCTCCTGTTATATTTCCTAAAGTTAAATATCTTACATATAACATGCACATATGCAACCTTAAGCATTTTGAAGCATTTGAATCCATTATGACGGACCACCACCAGCAAACAAAGAATTAATATCTATACATACATTTGACAATAATTATTAAGTGCATTTTATCTGACAAATTCACTTTTGTACCAAAAATAGTGGCAAGAGATATATCAATTTATTTTAAATTAAAACTAAACTAACTGTAACTGAATAACAACCCTAAAAATGAGGAAACTAAGGTTTTTTTTTAACTTTTTCTCATAGGACATTAAGTGAATGAGCTAAGTATAAGTAAGTTTTTTAAATCTTTAATACTGACTGGAAAGTTAGTTTTCATAAAAATAAATGTTTTTTTAATATTAATCTATGTATGTATAGATGTTTATTCTTGCTTTAAACAAGACCAATATCAACGCAGAAGCCCGGCACCGAACCCAAATACTGGTATTCAGACCTCACGAGGCGTCTTGAAACCTAGACCGACATTCTTATGATGTCTCATGTCCTTCCGCTTCAACCCTCCTTTACGGTTGAGGAACACCGTTGCCTGTTTCTGAAACGCTTTCTCTGTCTACAAAAAAAAGAAAAACACACATTAGAATCACATGCATTACCTCACGGGGTGTTTTGAACCCCAGTCCCACGTCTTTGTGGTATCTGAGCGGTTTGCGGCTGCGTTTCACACCGATGCCTTTCTTACGGTTCAAAAACACCGTCGGTTGCTTTTGGAATGAACGCTCAGTCTGCAATTTTTGGTAAGCATTAGAACAATAAACTGGTCTAATTTTTGAAACATTAACTGCCTTAGTATAACATTTAAATTAGGAATAAACTGAGTATAAGCAAATATTAGTACAAATTTTGCTTATATTCAGATTATTCCCAAGTTTATTTGCAAGGCTGTTAATCTATATATAAAGAAAATACTACTATAGGTATGCGACTGCAAAAGTTTGAAAAGTTTAAACATAAGAAATTTTGGATATTTAAATAGTAAATAGATGGTTAATTGGAATGCTTGGGTACTTAAACTTTTTACTGGTTCAAGTTTAAATTGCTAATGATAATACAAATTTAACAAACCTTCACATGCTATGTTTATGCATAAAAGTAACAAGAATATTTTTCACCTTTACATGTAAAATAAAAACCATTTAAGACCAAATATGAATTAGTTAACAAAACCACTATATTAAAAATAGAGTAGGCAGTTCAACTTTCAAGATTTATGTGATTTGTATATTTTGTGAAAATTACGGTTATACTATTTGGATTAAAATATATTTTATAACCATAGCTAAATAAGACTACATAAAGATGCATGTTAGTAATAACAATATCTACATGGAGGAAATCTTGTCTTCAGAGGTTATGATTTTATATGAATGAAGAGAATAATTTTGCATCATTACAACACAAGGAATCGCACTCTTTTAGTAAAATCATATAAAACTCCTTTTACAATTGTACGTTGTTACTTATTTTACACAAAAACCCAAGTAAAACGAATATTTTGCTCCCCACGTGGAAAGCGACAACAAACACATTTTCACTATAATAGTCTTCTTTTTCACTTGATGTAATAACTTTATCCATTCCACAAAAAAATGTAAGGAAAGTAATATAAATTAAATGATTTTTTGACGCCGAAATTCATAATTTTATGAAGAATATCGGCACCTACCTGATCCGCCATTTTGCTTGACAAGGAAAAGAAATGTCAAAGATAAAACAACGGCTGGCGGGCCTGCATAGATAACTCTAATATGGTTGAACAGATTATGTAAATGGTATAAAGTGGTGCAATTAATAAATAAAAGTTATTGTTCACTATTATATTACATCCTAGAATTACAAATAATAAAATAAAGACTAATTATAAGAAGCGTTTTGCTATGATAAACTGAACCTATTTTCTGTTCAAAATTATGTTTAAAAATGTAAGATTTGAGTCTATTTTTATTTATTTATTAAAATCATTATTGATTATACCAATTAATACATATTAGATTGATTCTAAAGTGAACATTTATTTAAATTAATAGAGATAATTGTAATTTATAGATTACACTGTACCTTGTCAGTTCATGTATCCGAACATGAAACAAGGTGCGAGAAAAAAAGTAAACATTCAACATTGTCAAAACGCGAATTGTTATGAAAATATATAACAATTTCATATTTTACTCTTTTCAACTAAATTTTTCTAGTGCTACTCCGTTTTCTAAACTTTTTACAACTTAAACTGTAATTTGTTTGTAAAACATAATGGTATAGTGTATTGCTTACAAAATACGATAGTGATGACTACTTACAATTCATTTTTATTTTTATTCAATTTCGAGTGATTTTATCTAATTCGAGATGGAAGAAGTGAGGCAGCTGGTGCAGGAAGAAGGCAGGGAGGCGAGAAACCTGGTTGCATTTCACGTAGCAGTCGATACACCAAGTAAATTGCATTGTTTTATTTTGAAGTGACCTAATAGGAAAACGGTTTTTACTCGTGGGCGTGAAAGAATATTTATGAAATAAAGGAGTATTCAAGTGTCCTTCTAGCTGTATAGTATCTAAATAAGAGTTTTGATGAGTTTCTTTTGTTGTTTCTCATTTACTTTGAATACTTTTTAACATATGGTGATAGCATTTTGATAGATTATTCGAGTAATATGTATTGCGCAGCGAATTTTAGGATCAATAAAATTTGACTGACTAGTTCTATGTCGAAAATGCACTTTATTTTACAACTTATATGAGTAGTTTTGCAATAATTGTGTTTTAAATGATATTTTGGTGTTGAATATCTAATTTTAAAAACTAGATGCCCTAGTTTCCTATATTCATCTGATACAAGATTAATTCATGCTTTGTGTACATTTAAAAAATTAAACTGTAGTTTGTGTCAAGAAATATGTGAACTGTTTATTACATTTTGGTTTTTATAATGGTTCTTTTATTTAAGTGTTAAGTTTTTAATAGAAAATTAAAATGAAGTGATTTTTATTTTATTTATATACAACAGAACATCAGATGGGTTTGTAGTCAAGTGTTAATTTTCTTTTTTAAAAAGTTTAATTTCCATTTATATTATATGCAAGCAGTAGTGTAGTTTTAAATGTATTTTCCATATTCTGATTCTCAATGCAACAACTGTAGGAGTACTGTTCCCTGACATTTCACAATGTTTTTCAAAATAATAAATGTACATGCAATATATTTTTTTATCATATAAGGTAGCAAACAAGCAAGTGGCCACCTAAATCTACTGAAGTGGAAAGTGACCGCTGTCCATAAACATCTGCAATTGCAGATGCGTTGCCTACCCTTAATTGATGGAGGAGGAGATGTACATAAAGAGGACTTTTCCCCTTTCTATGTGTGTCCTCCACCGTCACATCCATTTTTCCTTTCTTCTTAAGAAATGGTTGGATTATGGTCCGATCCATTCAAGCACTTAACAATTGATTATGTATTCAAGACTATCCTCCACATCTATGCTATATTTCATCAAGATACATTCTGCGGTTTAGGCTATAAACTCTAACAAACATCCATCCATCTAAACATTCACATTTTTAATAGATCTAAATGTTGCTGTTTTATATTTTAATAGTAGATTTTACGTTACATGAAAACCAGATAATATCCTTGCATCTTATTAACATTATAAATGTGAAAGGTGTAATAAAGAATGCATAGAATATTACTTTTGTCTTTTTTTATTCCACGCGCACTGAGTCGCGGGCGAAAGCTAGTAAATAAATAGAATTATAGCAATTTGTAGATAATATATGGTGTACTTGAGTTCAGATGTTCACTTCCCATATACATAAGTAGTGGGGGAAGTCCCCTTTTGAATTAATAATATGATGTTACCAAGTTATGGTATACAAACTGTGCTTATATCTATTTATTAACAATAGACATTCGATCTCGATCTATTATTTATGACCCGCAATATTTTATTCGAATTTTTAATCGATCTAAAGATCCCAACCGTGAGAGAGTTCACACTTTAACTGTACAGTTCAACTGATAGTTAAAACTTTGAATACACACGCAGTTTTAACTAGATATTTTGACTGTTCAGTAAAAACTGAACGTTTGTAGCGATCTTAAGAAGGCGATCGTTTTTTTGGATTGTTGTCAAGGATCGAATATTAATTTCGACCGAAAAAACGAACTTACACGTTCAAAGTAAAATAATTTTCGTATAAATAATTTGTTCTGCCTGTATTTGCGACTTTTAGGGCCTGTCCCACCACTGATAGAGGCTCAGATAGCTTAAAAGTGACGTCACTGTCACAGTACCAAAATCCGATATTTCCATAACATATTTTATACGTTGGATTGTTGTCTGACAATTTCTAAGTATTGTAGGACAGTCCCTTAGTCGTGTGAACTTTTACATTTAAATTCTATGTAACGTAACGACTCGTGCTGTAGTTTATTTATTGAAATGTATTGATTTATTCGCCTGTATCGTATCGTTCTGTCTGGGACATATTATTTACGTTTCATTTTACTGTTGATCTTTTCAAGTGATACTTGTTTGTTAAAATAGTTTTTAATTTGTTGTGGACTAAGATTTGCTTAGTTGACTTTGGTGGGATTTTTTAATCGTTTAGTAAGATTATATTTTCTATTTTTACGAAATAAGGTACTGTAGGGACACAAGTTAAGTTCTAAATTATTGCCCATGAAAAAATCCCAAGCATGAGTACGACTTTTGGTCGTATCTTGTCAATTTCTAGTGAAAATGTAATGTAAATGTTTGTGTTTATTAAAGTTTTACTATTACTGTGTTATTTTATCAGGCCGTGTGTCTCGTAAGCCGCCGCGCGCAGTACCACCGCCGCGCAGGGCTCCGCCTCGCGCCGTCCGCTTGCGCTCGGCCTCTGCTGGCCGAGACAAGCGCTCCGAGCTCAGGGCGAGATACTGGGCGCTGCTGTTTGGTGATCTTCAGAGAGCTGTGAGTATACTTGTTGCGATTTCAAGTTAATTGTGGTGAATATAAGGAGCATTTGTCTTTTAAGTGTAGAACAAGTTTTCTTTAGTTCGTTAAGTGCTAGAAATCTGGTACATTAGTATTATTGTCATCCCTCTTGTAAATGTGTTTTGACGGTGGTTCTAACACTAAGGAACCACAGTTCGATTGCTAGGATTTTGTAAAAAATGTTTGCTTTGCGAAAACAAATTCAATTAGTTGGAAAGATAAACTAGTAAAAGTGTTTATAGTTACTTTAATCATTATATGTACTTGCTTAGGGAATCGGAACCTAGGTACAGTCGCGGAAAATTGCAGTGGTCTTTAGGAAAAGTTGCCTTGTTCATTGCAACGAGATAAACTCCGTCTCTTCCTACAAATAACTAACTAGATATCAGTGAGTGCAAACGAAAGGATAATAAAAAAAACTAGCCATGTATCACTGACAGACTATTTTTCGTATACATATGCTGTGGTGTATTAATTTTTGTTCGTCTTGTTTCAAAATGTTCAAATGATTGTAGTTTTTAAAATGGAACACCGACAGTATCCGCTACTGTACATCGGGGATAGAAGCTGAACGTATAGATTATGGTCCGTTTAAGTTATAAAATATTTTGTACTAGCTTTCGCCCACGATTCCGGTCGCGTGGAATTAAAAGAAAAACAAAAACGAGTAGCCTGTATTCTTCCAGACTACCCTCTACATCTGTACCAAATTTAATCGAGATCCGTTAAGCAGTTTAGGCTACAAACTCTTATAAACATCCATCCATCTAAGCTTTCGCATTTATAATATTAAGATGAGTTTTTCTCAAGTACATATTAGTATTTTAAGGCTAGCGATGATGGTAAACTTAAAATTTATTAATAAGATGTGTAATTTGAAATCTAAAAATACGTATATTGCACATGCAATCACTTAGGTTTGGTAAGGGGAGGGTGGGGAGGTAGATAAGTGGGGGGAGACCGAGTCGATACATCGCGTCCTGCGCACTGCTAACAACTGTTGCTTACCGAAATGCAAGTTGCATTTATCTTAAAACTAAGTAATGCAATTTAGTTGGCACGTCAGGTAAAAAAGAACTCTTGTAACCTACGTGCCAAGGTATTTACCGGGTGCCTTAACAAAATTAATAGCAAATCTGATAATGTTTTTCTTTTTTACCCAAAGTTATGATTGTGAATTATTTGTCACATATATGCTTATTACCTTTTGGCCGCGATTTCGTCTGCGCGGAATAAAACAAACTTAGTTTATGTGTTCTTCCAGACTATGTTCTACAGTCGTAACATTGATATACGACTTTTTGGAGACTTGTCACATATAAATAGACAATATAACTTGTAGGGAGTAAAGAAGGTCCATGCGGTCAGACCGTGTGCGCCCTCCAGTGGAGCCATGGGTGGTGGAGGGCTATCATCATCATTAACTTGCCCTTATCCCTTACGGAGGGTCGGCACAGTATGTGCTGCTCCATACATCTCTATCAGCCGTCATATCTGAAACCACTCCTTTCTTAAGCATATCCTCTTTTACACTATCCATACTTTCTTCGGTCTTCCTCTTCCTTTGTAGCCATCCACATTCATTCTTAACACTTAAGAAAACCCTATACTAATCCTTTACGAGATACGTAGTAACATACGTCCATCTAAACTTTTGTATTTATAATTATGATAACTAGTTTCGATTATTGAAGCATATCGATGTCTTTGTTCTTTTAAAGCGACTGAGAGAGATGACAAATTCTAGACAACTTATCTAGCATGTTAAATTGCTATTAAAATCCGTTAAACTTGGTTATTCGCTAACATTACATTACCACTAATATCTGTATAAAAATGATTCTGAGATATATCAAACATTTGTCTGACCTTTGTTTGTATCATAGGTTCTTATCGATTAGAAATATAAATAGATTTCTTCGAATTCGCCCTCTTTATAAAGGTCGCATAAACTTAGCTTTTTAAGAATCGAATATGATGTTATTTATTGTACCAACTAAGATGGTTTTTTTATTTTAAAGGATAGCGTTCAAAATCTTCTCCTGACAAATTTTCTTTTTCTACTTTAATCCTTCTCTCGTACTTTATGTTACTTTTTCACGCTTAAAATAAATCAAAAACACGTGTGTTAATTAATCGTATACTAGTAAACAAACATCGATAAATGATATGTACTTTTTCGCTCCACTATTCCTGTCTTCGATCGTTTAATATCAGTCAGTATAAAGATGGTATGTATAATTGCAGAAAGCATGTAGTTCATTTCAGTAACCGTGACGCTATCGATCCATCGTCCCTGACTAGTATAGTAATATATGCAAGGCCATTAGTCATTGACAAACTTCACTCTATGATAGATACTCTATGCTCAAACTGTACAGTTCACAAGAATCATATTAAAATAAATTAATGCATTTTTCCAGGTCGGTGAAATCTACAACACCGTAGAAGCTCACGAGAACTTAAACGAGTGCCAAGAAGTAATATTAGTATTAGAAAACTACACTCGAGATTTCAAAGCTTTGGGAGAGTGGTTCCGACTGAAGTGGGAATATGACAACACACCGCCCCCTCAACGACCGCAGAGCTTAGCTTGGGAGATAAGAAAGACAGACTTCGTCAGACCGGAGTCCCGACGTACACATTCCGTTAAAAGTTCCCCGTCAGTGTCCGGGAAAAACAGTCCCTGTCTCTCCGGACATAATACACCGAGCGGCAAAAATAGCCCGAATTTAACTGGAAAAGCCAGCCCAGGCAGTGGCAAAATCAGCCCAAGGATTTCGACATGCCATTCCAGTACTAGTCCTAAAGCGAATATAGAATTCTTCACCAACAAAGTCGTATCAAAGATAACAGCCAAACCAGAACCCAAGTCAGCCAAAGAATCGACACGACTCTCCGATATTAAGGAAAGAGATGTCAAAGAAACGGATGAGAAAATGGAAAACGCTAAAGAGAAAAAATTAAAGAACGACGTACGACAGATTGAAGATACTAAAATGGAGAACGATATCCATAAAGATGTTAAGACAACTGTCACAGTTGAAATTGGCAAAGCCAAAGAACTACCAACATTAACTCCAAAACAAGTGGTTATAAAATCTTCGAAAACGAAATCTAATTTGGATAAAAATAAAAAGTTCGATGTTGAACTATCCAATCAAGCTAAAGCAACCATTTCTCAATTGGAAGCAATCGAGAATGAGTTCTTGACAAAGCAGTTAATGCAGGTCAAAGTGAAAAATGATAATTTCTTAAACGAAGAAATGGAAACTCAAATAAGAGAAAAAGCTCAGGAAAGTTCTATCCATGAAGTGACTTCCGGTGATAACAAAGTAAGTATACAGTCGGAAAATATAGAAACATCACGTATAGATTCTAATGAATCTCCAACAAAATCTGAAGAAAACTTTGCTGATATATCTAATGAAAGTTCACCAAAAGCTTGTATTGGAAAAGGAGAAAAATCACCTACTCAGATAATCGAAAACGGTGACACTGATACTGTTAACATTTCTGAGAGAAACGGAGAAGATATTGAAGATCACAATATTAAAGATGCAAGTTCTCATGTAGACGAAACAAATATACCATGTGGGACTCACAACGGAGTTAATCACGAGATCAGTCAGTCACAGATAATTATCTCTGTAACATCTGAGATAGATAGTACAGAAAAAGAAGAGCTTAGCTTAAAAGAAAAATCCGCAACAATAATTTCCGAGGCAAATTCTATAAAAGACAATCAAGACATTGTAATAACTGCAAATAAAAAGATTAAAACTATAGAGAAAAATAAAAAAGCGGTTATCGAAAATGGCGAAATTCATGTTGAAAGTTCAGATCACAAAAACAAGTTAAATAACGAGCAGTCAGTAGTCTCTAATAATATCACTTTAGACTACAACACTAATTATAAAACTAAAACTCTCAATGAACCTAAAGGACCGGACAAACAAGCCGAACACATAAAGAAAACTATAGAAACTAAAGAAGAATTGAAAAAGGAACACGATTCAAAGAAATCCGAGAGTAAACCTATCGTAGAAACAAAAACGAACATAAAGCCGGCTTATTCTCAAGCCGCAGCAAAACCAAAATCAGCAAATGTAACCAAAACTGAAATAAAAACACCTACAAGGATTGCATTGGTCAGAAGTTCAACTGTAGTGGAAATGCGACCTAACACAGCGCCAAAAACTCAACGACCATTCCAGAAAAGGAATCAAATAAACAAATGCAGCTATCCTTTCAACTTGACAACTAGTCGTACTAGTCTATTTCAAACCCCAGCAGCGACTACCACTGTCAATAAAGCACCCTTACCTAAACGTCCCATAAATAGGACCAATCATTTGGCTTCTGGTGACACGAAAGCTAACCCCATTAGAGGAAACTTAAATAAGCTACCACCGAGACCTACAACATTAAAAATTAACGGAAAAGGGAATAAAAAAGAAAACGTAAACCCTTCATTAAACGAGATAAAAGCTAGCGATGAATACAGCAGTTGTGATACTATCGTTACTCAAATAGATATGTCTAGAATTGAATCCAGCGAAAGTTTAAAGACTTTAGTACCGGATAACACACAATTGCATAATATCGCTAATTCTATAGAAGTTCTTAACGTTGATGATAAAAATGATAACGAGGGATGGTTGACTGTCAAATCTAAACGATTGAATCGCGAATCAAAGAAGCAACTAAAATCACATTGGGCAAACCGATTTAACCAACCATCAGCCACAACAAGCTTGCCTACATTAAACATGCTAGAATCACCTAAAGAAGAAACTAACCCTATAGAAGAATCAGCTAAAACGACTAAAATAGATCGTGCTAAATCTGAACAACCAGATACTAAAGTGGAACGGAAAGCAGAGAAAGTCGTTAAAGTACTCACCACACCAAAACCAGAAAACAAAGCCAAAGATCCAGCGATGATTCGTCAGAAATCTGATGTAACCGGTCTTAAGACAAAACCCTCTAGGACGAGATTAAATAAAAGAGCCGGGAAAAATAGAGACGCGACTAACGACGAAGAACAATCAGAATTGACTAAAAACAGACTTCATTCGTCTTTAGAAAGTCTTACAACTGGTCTGGCTAGATCACAAGAAAGTACAGAAGAGACATTCGACTTCGATAAATGGAAAGCAGAATTTAAATCGACATTCAAATATCTAGATGACGATGATCAAACTTCGAACGATACTGAGATATTAAAGTCGGCGGATCCATCGGAAATGTCGGAGATCGCAGAAATGACGTCACAGATAGAAGAGAACGAGAAGAAAATGGATTGGGCTTTGGATCTTCAGTCGGAGGCGGATCAGAAGAAGCTCTGCGAAGAAGAGGATCTTCTAAACAGACAGATAATGGAGTTACAACAAGTTTCAGACATAGATCTGGATACCGAAACAGATGATACTGAGGTAAGTTTGGATCTTTTTCGATAGATTTTATATTTTTCGGAGATGTGTCATTTCGAATGTAGCCTTAACTTGATTTAATAATTCACTAGTTTCGGTGTGGCTACATCCACCTGTAATTAGAAAAACGTTATTTTATTGTTAACGTTTGTGAAACTTTCAATTCTAAATGTCAAAATTCCAACGCATAAATGACAACGAAGGTTTTGACATTGGATAACAATCTTCTTTTTATATTCCCGCGTGACGGTTTTTTCCAAATTATATTTACCCTAAGTTTAAAAGCGTGAAAATATATAGCCTAAAGCGTGTTGTAAGTTTAGGGCTTTAAAAAAAAGATTCAAAAACTTACTGTGATTACTGACATCCAACGCCACAAAGTCGTGCGTTTACGCTTTATTATATTAGTACATAGATAAGTGGTTTATTAGTTTTTTAATTAACTATTACTTGTGTTGTGTTATAGACTGACGCGGAGATACTGTGTGAAGACGTAGTTAACACGATAGCGCCGTCTGAAAGTCTAGGATCCCTAGCTGCTAGTCTAGAAGACCAGTATGAGACCGCCCTAGCCGGTATGAGTTGGGCGGAAAGAGTGGACACGTTAGGTGTGCTAGAAGCGCTCGTCGCAAGAGATCCAGGTACAGTAATTAATTGAGCAATTGATTATTTTTGTAATTAATAGATTAATTAATCGTATAATTAATTTTCTAGGACGCGCACAACAGTTGCACGCAAAACTTTCCCAAGGTATCAAACGACGAGGAAGCCTCCAAGACGCTCTGCGAAGGTGCGTATAATATTTACTTTTATTCAATTAATTAATTATTCAATTGATTATTTAACATTTCTTTTTTAAAACTTAGAGAAGTGACACACTGATGAGTAATTTTAATGTATTTTCAGTATACAAGCTAAACAAGCAAGAGCTGAACAAAAGAGAAGAGAGTTGCAGATGGAAAGATCTAAGAAGTTGCAGCAGTTGTTAGCAAGAGTCGAAGAAGTAAAGGTAATTCTAGAATTTAGAAGTTTGAAAAACTAATAAATTCATGAACTTAGATAGTTAAGAAATACATCATATATCTGAAAGTTAAATTCAGCCTGATTAATAGGGAATTTAGGTATATATCTCTGGTTAATGGTATATTTGCAGGTGGCCAAGGATCAACTGATAGATGACAAGAAATTGCGGATCAACCGACGCCTGGCAAAAGCAGCAGAAAATCGAGACCAACATTTAAAGGTAATTTACATCAGTGTCCCTTTTTTATATGTAAGCGTTTTAATTATAAATCTGTTTTGTTATTTCAAGAACGTCGGTGGCTCAGTGGTTTAAGCATTTGACTTGTAATCTACAGGTCTTAGGTTCGAATCTCGCTGTACCAATGTTAATTTCAAATTTCATAAATACATAATTAACCCGACGTTCTTATAGTGAAGGAAAATATCGTGATGCACATATTTCGTATTCTTTGATATTTGTAAGCTGACTAAGTTCTAGTTACTAACTTCGCCTAAGCTCCGAGCCCCTCAGTGAGATGTATAGTGAGCTGGTGATGATGATATCTCTAATGACCTTGAACCTGTACATTTCGAGGTCAAATATCAATAAGCAGTAATATTTTCCAGGGTATAGTTCGGAAAGCCCACGATGAAGAGGAGAAGCTGCGCGAGATCGCGTTCATAAAGCAGCTGGAGGCGGAGAACAGGCGGCTGGAGTTCCTGGCACAGTGCCGCGCGCACACCACACGACTGCGCACCATGCGCAGGGAACGTCTGGAGAAACTGGTATATTTTTATGAAATAGATTAATTAATTGGTTGATTAATTAATTGATTAAGTGGTTTATTAATTATTGTATGGTTAATTAATTAATTAAATTATTATTACTCGGCTGTTTAGTTGAATGTTGAAGTTTAATTAATAGAATAAGTCGATTAATTAATGAAATAATTGATTGATTAATTATTAGCCAATACGTTGATGCATTAATCGATTGATTAATTATCCATATATTGCTTAATAAAGGTTGCACTCAACTGTTCGCGAGCGCCTGTTACTTTTCCAATAGCAACGAGTAAATTTTGGGAACCATGAATTCTATTAA